TCCCCATTCGTAAGCATTCAACGGTATTTTCTTAGAAATCGCAACGTTAAAGTCCCTATCGATAGTGTGACTCATTAATGTTGAGAATAGGACTTGTTGTTATCACGTTTTGTAATAATTTTTTACAGAGTACACTATATTCGGTATATATGACTAACCGCTGGCTTTTTCAGAACCTCCTGAAGGAAGAATTTGACGTGGTGATCTTGGATGATCTGTACGCCCCTTGCGGTCTTTTATACGTTGGCTTGAAACGGTCGGTATTCATCTACTGGTCGATGACACACATGCGCACTGAGACGGCGTGGAGCAACGAGAGTCCAAGTATGCCGTCGTACGTGCCTGTATCCGGCACGGGGTACACGGATTCGATGGACTTCTGGCAACGTGCCTTCAACCTCCTGTCCTATCTGAAGACGGTGTACGTCCATCAACGGATCGTTCTCCGGGCCATGGATAAAGTGTTCCAGAAGCTGTACCCTGGCGTCACTGAAACTTTCTACATCGAACGTAACGCCAGTTTGAACTTCATCAACACCCCGCCGTTGTTCGACTTTCCTCGGCCATTCATGCCTCGCGTGAACTTCGTCGGCGGCCTGCTGTGTCGCGCTGCCCAGAGACTTCCGCCTGTAATTCACTGGTGGCTTTTCTTCATATTAAATTCTTTAGCGTAGAAGATTAAATAATGCTCTTTCATGCGGGAAATTAAATCCATGATGCTTTATATGTTTTGTTCATTATGACATGGAGCATGGACTTGAATAATATCTGTCCATCTCCTTGTTTAATACCTTTGGTCATTGTATGGGACTTGTTATCTGTAGTGCTTTCCTCTTGATCTTTTCCTCGAAGAATAGTCTCACCTGCACCAGTCTGTGGTCTCTGTCGGGGTTAAATGATGGCACTACTGTTTTGCCCGGATTTTTCGGCGTTGATTTAAGTGTATGAAGTCGCTCTCGTTTTTCGTCGCCTCATAGGTAGCGATCCATATTCACTTCCTGTTGGTCTTCTTATACCAGATGTTGCCAATGTACAGAAGTTTTGTTTTTGCGTAGTCACAAGCCGATTTCTTCGCTCATTTCACGCTCTCGTTCGACCTCGGTACTGAAGTCTCCCATGAGGAGGCTATCCGTGGAGTTTCGGACCAATTCCGATGCCAGTTCTTAATAGAATTCTTCCACTTCCTCTTAACTGGCTGTACTTTTGGGAGCGTACGTTTGGACGATTTTCAAGGTTTTATACTTGTGTTCAGTCAGAAGCACGATATGCCCAGTATTGATGATTTCGGAGGACCAGTATATGCTGACCATAAATCTGATTCTTCCTCTGGCCTTGCCGCCATCTTCTCCTCCTAGCCGACTCGAACTACCGTCTTACCAGATGCCGTTCCTGTCCTTCCGCAGTTGTGTCTCGTAGAGGCCAAGGATATCGCAATGTATCCCTGACCTTTGGTCCGTTAGTTTAACGTTCCTTCCTTCTCCAGTGTTCTATAGTTGTAGGTGAAAGTGACGAGGGATATTCGGATCCGTTTACCAGAGAATGATCTTCTCTTGGGATTCTTAGCCGCCTCACGTCATTCGCAGGGCGAACCGCCGCCATAGAATGAGCCAAGAAAGGAGCAGGTTATTGTTACTGATTTGTTCGTGTTTTCATGACGCATAAAGTTCTTCCACTTGTTGGCAGGAATGACGTTGGCTTGGGGAATTTTTTCGAAACGGGTCCTTGAATTTTGTTCCGTTTTATATCAAAGTTGTCTCTTTTAGTCTTTAATGAACCGACGTCTAACGGCAAGGTAGCAAGGTAGGTGATTTCAAATGGGCGGCCCGTTTTCGCCTCGATATGGGATTATCATTAGGCATTGTAACTTCTGATATGAGGATTGAACTTCTCGAGCTCGAATCCAGCTACGCCCTGATGGTGTCTCTTTTTCAGCTCAAATTAGTAATTTACAAAGCACAGATTGTAGTCAGGTTTGATATAGATTAGCAAATAAATAATTAAAATGTGGTAACAACGTCAACAACAAAATGGTGTGAAATACAAAGAGCCAGAAAGGAGAGGATTAAATAAAAGAAAGGATATTACATGGCGGGAACTAGCTCTATGAGAGGCAATGTCCAGCTAGGTGAAAGGTCTTTGATGCTTAAGTAATTATTTACATAGAGAGTGTCAAGTGCTCCAATGAAAGCGGAATCACGTTGCTTCAAAGAGGTAGTGGTGTGGTCACTGTCTAAGATGTGATGAAACCTGTGTAAACGAGAAATTAAGTCTCACATCTTTCAATGAATTGCAAACTCATTATGAATAATTTACTTTTTTTATCTGATCTTTTGTTTATATTTATTTTTTGCCTGTCCGTTTGTTTTCATCCTTTCCTTCTGTCATTTCTTATGCCTTTCAGTTTCTCTCACGGTTTCTCTTTACTTATCTTATATTTCTTCATTACAGTACTTTAATAAATTGCCTGCTTATTTTTTCCGTCATTTTGATATCTCTTGTGTGAACTGAAGTGGGTTCAGAAAGTTTTACTTGTTGAATAGGTATTTCCAGATTACTATCTACAGCTCCTTTAATTTTTTTGTGTTGATGACATTTAAACTCATTGTGTTGGTGCAGAGTTGCTCTTCATCAAAGTTTTTCAATATATATAGAGTATGTCAGGCGACGCGTAACTCATCAAAAGACCACATTTCATTTCTTATTGCATCTCTCCCATGCTTCTGTTTTCTTGGGGAAGGGGGGCGTTTAAGCAGGTAACCGCTTTTGATGTTCATGCGATGCGATAGCATATGAAGGGTACCGATATATACATTTGGCAATGCAGGTGCTCAGATGGTATAAATCCGAGGTTTAAGTAAATGTCCTCTCTTCCTCCTAAGCAACTAAAAGCTGGGGGTGAAAGGTCTTATTCTTTGTTTATTCTTTGTACGTTGTTTAAAAATGTGGGTTGTGACGTTTCGAATTTTAATTTGCACGTACATTTGCAAATACAAGTCTGGTCGCAACAGTGGGCTACACGAGATGCAATGTGATATAAAATTCTTGGCGGGCGCAGTGCGTAAGAAGTCCACTTTAAACTCTGTTTCCGGAGGTACCGAGTTCGATTCTTGCATCGTACAATTTTAGTTTTTATCACGAATTCACTTAAGCAGTGAATTCCCCAGATGTTGCATCAGGCCGTGTTTACCCGGTCGGTAAGGCATCGGATTCAGAACCGGAACTTCTTTGGTCCGAGATTGATTAATGAGTGGAATGGAAACAGAATATAAACGATGCTGGTCACATAGCCGCCGTCGACTCTGCCTTTAACAAGCCACTTATGGCTGATGACATGGAAATAGAGATCAGCGTCCTCACCATCAACTCAATGAACACAGTGGTGCCCGAATTGACTCCATTATATAAACGTAAGGAAGACCAACATTCCAATGGTTGCAGACTTTCCTTCCCTTTTTTACTATGACATTCATTAGATTATTTACATTTTTTACGTCAGCGCTGATTTGCAAAATCTATACCAAGTGGATGAGCAGCCAAAAGCAAGTAATTTCTGCAGCTTTGAATTCTAGAAATATATCCATTGTTTTGTTACCGTTCCTACGCTGTACCGTATTTTTCACCATTTTGTTAATAGTGCAAATACAATGAGGCATGTAAAAACTAGTCGCACTTTTTAGTCTTAATTCGTACCTACAATAAACTTCATTTCCTGACATTTGTTAGAATCGTTGTTTCACTCCAAAAATAAATGTGCCATTTATTTTTTAGGACTTGGAAGCTTTCGTCAATGGCAGCAGTGAGAAACATGGATTCGTTCTATTTACCACTGGATATACGATACCTTGGAAACGCGCTCCACCTCATATCAAGGTATAATTCGCTTTAAGACTTCATAATCAACGGCTGTGATCGATGCTGTGTTAATTTTCTTCCCATTGAGTTACTTCTGATCGCTGTCCCTGGTTGACCAGTCGTTGCGTAGCTTTCAAGATTTTCTGACTTCTGCTTCTCGCTGGAAACCTGTTACCTGTAAGAACCCACGGAACTTAAGGTCACCTCAAAAGAACACGTTTATCTTGCTTGAACGATGAGTTGTACAACATTGCGTAGAACTTAGTAATCGCTAGTTTTGTTGTAATACATTTTTTGTATGAGCCGCATCTCTCTTTGTGTTGCTTGAGTGAGTAACGAAAGGTCAATATTATTTACATCTATTTGTCATGTCTAGAAGAAGGTTGGTTGACAGCCAGCAGCAACAGTAGCAAAAGACCCCAAATTATCCTGAATAAGGCTGTGAGATTCAGACCTGAATATTACTTAGATATTTTCCCGTTCCAATAAACACGTTATATTTCCTTATACAATTTTTTTGCATCGTCAGAAGGGTCATCTGTTTCATAAGAAAGTTAAAGATAATAAATTTTGACGTCAAATGCTTTGATTTAATAAATTTGTCATTCAATAATTTGTTGACTGTTTTGCTTCTTATTTTGTTTCTTCTTTTTGTTCTTTGAGATTTCCTTCGTCATGATGGTATCTTCGTAAACATGGTCATATTTTTAATGGTTATCCTCATAGTCTTCATATTCTATAAATGCAAAACTTTTGTCATAATGGCTGTCATTCTCTTAATATTCATTCTAGTCTTCATCCGCATGATTGTCGTTTGCACGACCTTTAAAATTATTTTCAGCTTCTTGGTGATATAATCAGGAAGGTACATAAAGTATTATATTTGCAGTTTTAAAAATCTAAATAACGTTTTTGCGTAAAATTCATCTATAACTTTTAGGCCAGTTTCGTTGAAGCATTTCGCTCACTACCTCATCGTATCATTTGGCAGTATGACGGGGAGCTAATCAAAAATCTACCTGAAAACGTGTTCATCGCGCCATGGCTCCCTCAACAGGATCTACTCGGTATTATATTGAACCTTTTTCTGTTTGTTGTCTAGGTAAGTGAGGGTCGTGGCTGCTTAACTCTTTCTTTCGTATATTGGGTGTATTAGTTTACGAATCTGACATCATAAATTCATATTGTTTTATCATTAACGACTGAAAGAGCACGAAAGTCGGGAAAGTAACAACTGCCGTCAACTACATAAACGGGCGTATCACCGCCGCTGGGGTTGGAACTTTTCACAGTAGACCGACGGACAGTTTCTTGGCTTGTTACTCATCCATTCTACTCGAAGTGGAATTTTTTATTGCAAGAATGCAGATACCGGCTAATTATAATGTTGCTGTCTGTCAAAATCCTGAAGTCTGGAATATCAGTTTGCCCCGAGAAATATCTAGATAACAAGGAGTAAAATCTGCTCTAGTCTGAAGTATCGTTTAGTTATTTTCAATACTTTGGAGTATTTGCGAGTCATGGCTTTTGAAGCCTTTCCTCACGAATCTGTTCGAAAAAGTAAAACGGCAGCAGCCGCACACATTATCGGCATCATGTGATTCATAATATCATCGTAATTCATTATGAAATGGACTTCTCAATTTTCGTAAATAATCAGCAGTGAGACTGAGGGCGGGGGCATGGGCGCAATTTGTTACAAGGTTGCGTTACACGTTAGAGTGCGGGTTCAAATGCTTAGAGTGGTGTTCTGTTGTTGCTCTCTGTTTCATTGGAGCCCGAAAGAGTGTCGTGTAACACATTCGAAGGTGCCAAAGGATAACACTTGGAAATAGGCCCGTCTCAGCGCTCTTCGTACATGGTGCTTTTAATTACAAGAGCGTTTGGAGCAGACAGATTTAATACTATTTGTTATTTAATGCTATTTGCTTAAATTCAACTCTCCTGCTTGGCGATCCCTATTAGCCTAATTAACTCCCGCATTAGCTTCATCAACCACATACTCCTGCACATTTGGAATTGTTGTAAGGTCCTTGCAATGTTAATGCTGAATGAAGTCGTTTCTCGTCCATATGCTGTCGGTGATAATAAATTTTTTTAATCATATTTGAACAGAGAGTGGTTTAAACAATACTTCTTGCTTTGTCGGCTCGTCATTTTATCATCGTCATCATCACCTATAATCAGATAAATAAATAGATGAATCGTTAAATGCGAATTGCCATACAGTAAATGACAAAATATATTTTCAGTGGATATTATATAGTTAATTGTTAACATTTACAGCAGTTTATTTAGCAGCGTGACATAAAAAAATTGTCGGTTTTTTATGATTCTGTTTTAGCGTTTAAGACCCATGTAAAATCCAAAAGTTGTAGTCTTCCGAGAACAGTGCTGTACAAGCTTACTGGGTTATTCATGTCACATCGACTTATTGTAAGTACTAGGCAATCTACGGGGTCATCTCCTCTTATGAAGAACGTCTACCTCCTTTTTGCACTCACCCTTTTCGGAAGATAACTGCGAGATCTGCGCTCTCACGTTGACCTCTTTAACTCACTAACCCTCAATAGTGACAGT